TTGAGGTCACATGTCTTCCCTGCAGGTGGCCAAGCTGCTGGACAGCAAGAGGTCACAGCAGGTCGGTATCCTCATGTCCAGTCTGCACGCAGAGATGGCCGACATCGAGAACGGTCAGCATTCTTTGGTATCCCTAAAACTCTAACACCAAGTTGTTGGAATATACGTATGACAATAAACATGCACCAAGTAATGTATGGCATTGTCAAGAAACAAGCACCAAGTTGTAAGAATATGGCAAGAAACAAGCACCGAGTAATAAGAATATGGCAAAGGATATGCACCAAGATCTATGAATATGACAAGGAACAAACACCAATACATCAGATTATGACAAGGGAGAACAAGCACTGAGTTAAAAACTCTTTTTCAAATGCTTGCAGCTGTTCTCAACATGGATACCACTCATCTGGACCTGGAGAACCTGAATGCTCTCTATGATATTGTAAGTTCTTTGATTTTAAGTACATAAAGTAAAGAAACTTCATTGAAAGATATCTTTTGTGAATTATACCAATAAATCAATTAGTCCTCATTGATTAGAACATCAGTTAGTTTAACAAATGTGGACACTGTTCATGGCAATCAAAATCTGTATTACATTATTTACTATATAATATACAAGTGAAGATAAATGCTCTTGAACTTTGTAAAATTCTTGAACTTTTGATCCCTTGTGACTCCATGCATATTTTCAAGTGACAGTCTTTGTCAGAGATAACGTATGGCATGCAGTTTTTTCTTGAACTTTGGATCCAATGCAACACAAAGAAAAATCACTCAACACATTCAGCTGTCACATCGGTCTTCATTAGATATAAGTATGCATATGGTGAGTGATTTGTCTTTGTGCTGGAACAAAAGGTTAACAGCTTTGCAATATACCATGGCCTCACAATGTAACAACAACTCTCATAATTCTGCTGGGACCCTTAAGACTAGCACATTACAAAAAGCAGGTAATTTAGATGTAGTTAACAATTTTGTTGCATATACATTTGTACTTGCCCCAAAGACTAATTGCAAGTAGCAGGAACAAAAAGACGAACAAACAATGAAGAGCAATCTAGATGATTGTATGAATATGTGACTACTGTGGAGTCTAATGCAGCATCAGTAATCCCTGAGGCATGCAGGTATATAATAACCAAGACATGCTTCAAAAGGGATCAATGATATCATTCTTTAATTGTGGCAGTCTTAGGCTACCCTGTAAAATTTAGAAAATTGACATTACCATGATGTTACAATGACTATTAACACTGCTGTACTCTCCAGCGCCCCCAGTCAGAGGAGCTGGACAAGATCAAGAGGCACCTGGTGGCAAAGGTGGACACCCCGCTGGACAAGCCTGAGCAGTGGGTTCACTTTCCTTCACTTCCCTTCTCTGTGGGAGGAGGGAGAAATTTACTGTTCTCACTGTGTTTTGGACTTTGGGACAGCCAGTGTCCTCCATAAATAACTTGCCATTTTGTTGCAGGTTCCTGTATGAGCTGTCGAACATCCCGAGCTTCGGAGACCGTGTGTTTTGCTTCACCTTCCAGTCCCAGTTCCAGGAGAGCATCCTGACCATCAGGCAGAGACTCGACAACTTCAAAAATGTCTGCAAGGTGAGATGACATAACATGGGCAACCTTTATCAGCCACTACGAGACACCAAAACTGGAAGTTCTGCTACAGTACCATAGAAAACCGCTAGGAGGCCCATAACCAACTTCTTCTCCTTTGTTTTGATAAGACGTACACATGTAGCAAATATAAAGTTCCATCCCCAACTTCTTGACTTTTGCTCTCCACAAACAAACAAATGACATAACCTCAGCAGAGGTTTGTACTACAAGATTTGTATCTGACTAAAAAAATGTGCCATACAACATTTTCCAAATTCAACAAACATCAAATTCCAGCACCCACAACTGGACTGGGTAACAGGCAAGTTAGCAGTGATACATATTTACACCTTGGTCATGTTTCTGAACATGTTACTTTATACAGAAATACACAGGACTAGTGTGAGTCAGTTTGATCCCCTTCCAGTGTTTAGGAACAGGTCAGGACTGTCTGCCAGTGTGTCAGAAGGTGATGGAATTAGGGGCTCCCTTTAGACCAGCCGGCCTGTCAGCACTGCTCAAAACTATCTGGACACATCAAAGCCTTTCAGCACTGAGGTAGCAGGGATTCCAGGAGATGACAAGGCAACACTAACAGAATTTAAGGGATGACATAGTTTTGAGACACCAAATTTTGATGCAATA